AACTTGTAAATAATGTATAGATGACAGTTAAAATTCAACAACAATAATAAATAATATAGTATAGATAGATAAAAGTGTAAAATAAAAAATTAAGATAAAAAAACATCAATACATATTTATCATAATTAATAATATTATTAAATTCAATAATATTCAATATTTGATTCATTTTGAAGGTATTGAATAAACGATTATAATTGTATAATTTATAAAAAATTTTAGTTCATATATAATTGTTTGTTTTAATATGATAAAAATGTAAAATAAAAAATGAAAAAATAAGTGGTATGAAACAAATTATATAACTGATTATAAAAATATAAATTGTAATTGATCTTTAATATTAAAATAGGGATGTGGAGATTTAAAGTTATGGATTCTCCAAGGTTAAATTTGTAAATTAAGGATGTAAAATAGAAATAAAAAAAATAAGAAATATAAAACAAATTAAATACGATAACCATAAGATACAAAATAAAAGTTTTAAAAATAATTCACTGTATATTTATGTTATTTAATAATATGATATTAAATCAAAAAATATTCATTATTGGACTTATTCTGAAAGCATTAATGAGACGATTATAATGGTATAATTTATAAAAAGTGAAACATATTTTTTTAATATAATATGATAATTGTTTGTTGAAAAGTCATCACAACCAACTTTTGATTAAAGGTTTTGATATTAAAAGCAAAAAACTAAAATGTTCAATGTTTGTTAACAATTTATATTATTAATTAACATTGAATTAATATGATGTAATTACAAAAATATGGTTCATAAAAAAACTTCATTCAAGTATATAACTGAAAAAATCGTAATAAATTTTTTTTTTTTTTTATCCCCAAGGAAAATGGTTTCAGAATCCAGAGTTGTACTATGTGCATCATAAGTTATACACTAACAAAACAATTTATAAAATCCAGGCAACTGAGTACTGAAGTGTGGTCAGGTATTCTAGTGAAACCACAAGATGAAACAAAAGCCATAATCTTTAACAACATTAACAGCATTTCAACCTTACTTTGATCAACCAAGAACGCATCCATCACCCAAGCGAGTAAATAATTCTCTCCGAAAGATCGCTACCAACTGCCATCACGTATTTATGCAACTGAGTTTCCAGGTAGTTCCTTTCTTTCGCTCCAAAAGCTTCTCGTATATCCTTCAAAAGAAGAATTCTTACTATCGAGATTTCAATACACAACCCTATTTTGCATGCTTTCATTTTAAAACCAACCCAGTATATCTCACCGAATCTAGGGTCCAGGAGGAGTAGAATGTAACCAGATCTTACCTATGTGTCAAAAGACAGATATGCTGTTTCCGAGAAGACAATTATAAGCCATAGATTTGCAAAAAATGGAATTTTTAAGAGAGAACTATACAAGATAGTAAAGAAACTCCATATTCCCCATCAGAAGATACCACAAACATAATCTGTGAAGACTCTTGAACCTCCCCCCTCCCCTCTCCACCCAACACACCCTTTACAAACAATCAAGAACTCTCATGGCACATAAGGTTCTTATGCTTAAAAAAACTTACCTAATGCCCAGTAAATGACAAAGAGCATGCAAGAAGCCAGGAAGAATAAATATAAATTCTCATAACTTTGGTAGAAATGTACCTTATATTTCAGATGCATTCCCTTCAAACCAATAACAATATTACCGACATCTTTCCCCATTTCTGCAGGTGACAGACTAGTGGTTTCTGGTCCTGATTCATCATCAGAGTCTTCGAAAGCAAGCTCAGACATTTCTTCATCAGCGTCTATAGGAATGTCATTTGATTCTTCTGGAAAACTCTCCTCTTCTTGTTCTGTTTGATCTTCAATGATATGAGGTGACGAAGCCGCCTCATTTTGCAAGGTGGCATAATCAGATAGTACAACATATCGTTTTCTATCAAGTAGAGGCCTTGCAATATCAAATGGAACCCACCTGCAAGTACAAATATTCTGAAATTAATTAGTATCAAGACTTGAAAGTATAGACGCTCATCTTGCATAACGCATAAACAAAGACTTACTGGTAACGAAGAGGACAAAGAAGCTCAGATGGACGATATGCTGCTTTATATCTCATCTTGCTGCAAGAGTGAATGTAGTAGCCAAGATAATAATACTGCAGGCTCGGACAATGTTTCTGGTTTTCGCTCACCCAATTTATTTCTTGAAGTGCTGAGTACTTCCCAAGTGACAAAAAGGCGAGATCAGGATCCCAAAACAAATATTTACTAGACAGACATTTAGGGAGAATATCCATCACACCAACTGCAACTAGCCTGCCATTAATCAAATATTGCTGATGGAAAGAACCGAATCCGCAAGGAGGAACAGCACCATCTCCGCTTGTTGGAACAAAAACCAAGGGACTGTCAACCAGGAACCTCCTGTAAGAACTTTCAGTAACGTGATTTGGTGTATCGTTATGAACTTTAATCTGGTATCTCCTGTACAACGCATACTCTTCTGGATCAAAACTGGACATTTTCAGACGTATCTCAAGACTCTGTCCCTTGGCCTGAAGTTTTCTGGAGTTATTTGAAGAACTCCCTTTGCTACCACTGCTTGTCAAAGAGTCTTTAGAAACTGCAGGCTTTCCAACTATTACATCTGCCTGAGATTGTACTTGTGTAGAATAGAAATTAATATGTCCATTGCACGCTTTTACAGACAAACCAATAGCTGAAACCAAATTATCTAAATGGCTTGATAGCACCTCCGCAATAACTTTTGGTGTAGGCTCCACGCAATGGTCATCTTTTTGGTGAATACTCTTATTGGCCCTCCTTAAAGCAGCAGCAATCTGAAATGAAATGTTGCTGGAATACAAAAGAACTTCTGCTGTTTCCGCTTGTAATTTCCTCTTGGCTGGTGCAACGCTTTTGACAGAAGATTTAGAGAACTGAACGTCACTAGGAAATTCCCCACTATCAGTACATGCAAGCACTACAGAATCAATCTGTTTGGATAAATAGTACGTCACTTGCTCCAAGTTGTTCATTTGTGCTCCATTATCTACCATAACATCGCCTTGTACTGAACTGACAGTATCCTTCTTGGAAAGGCCATTTGAATCCCTTGATGTCTCATTTTGTTCATCTGGTTTCTTAACATTCAGTGAACCATCTAGAAACCTGCAATTGAGTTAACCATTGCATATTAGAATACTTTCAAATTGTTATTTGAAGTGCTGAAAAATATGCCAGAAAAATTTCCATGTTTTTGACAAATGTAAAACCCTAGGTACAATAAGAGTAAGCAATAAAGCAATTGACTACATTATTTGTTTTAGAAAGAAAAGGAAAAGAAACTAAATTATGATGTTATCTACTGAAAATGAAGATACAAGGGAGACATGAAGACACCTCTGCATTCGTTTAGATACTCGAACTTGCTCTTTGGAAGGAACAAAATCACTTGCCTTCAAACGAATCGTGTAAGACGGACAGCATGTCTTTTCCATCTCAGGCTTGTAAAGAAAACATCCAGATCTCCTCCAACCTCTGTCAAGAAGAGCTAGCAAAAGAATAAAAGATATTATAATACGTTCTCAAAACAAGTCGTACCAACCCTACCGAAAAAATGTAAACAATTTCTATTTTGGGTTGTCCGTTCCATAAAAGAAATGCAACGCCTCCTTTTTTGCATAACTCTGTCCCAAATTTTAAGTGTTTGCCCATTAACAACTGTTACAAGATTGATCATGAGCCACAAGTTTTCTCAAATTTATCTTCTTAAGGGGTATTTTTGGTATTTAATAGTTAAAGATTTTGATTAAACTATGATTTTGGGATGGAGTAAAAGTTTACATGGAATCTATGTGACAAAGGGCAATAAGCCGTAGCTTTCTTTGTTTACATTCTCATAACTGTAGTCTACATCTCTACCTCAAGGAAGAGACTTCTGTTTCCATATAAACACACTTGAAAACTTGTAAATTATGCATGCTGAATGGATATTAATTTTTTGTGCTGAATCAGTTGATATGGTCAGCTAAAATGTGCCAATTAGGTAAGTTCTTTATTCCTTTTCCTTTCTTGTACTTAACCATCTCATTTCATAGTTCCATAGAGAAGGATAAGGTTTTCTAGTTGTGTAGATTTCTATAATGTTCTTGCCTTTTATATATCGTACAAGTCCCCACCACCAAATATAATTAAAATGATGATCCCCCCCTCCACGCACCTCTATAAACATTTTAGGTCCACCGTAGTACTAGTGGTACATCTAACATTATCTTAATGTTTCCCCTATGGTTCTGTAAGTTGGTGGAATCTTAGATATATTTGGATACATAATCTTGCATTCTAAATGTTCTCCTCTTCTTATTCTTGCTTTCAACGTCATTTCAGCCAAACAGTATATGATGTATGTGTTCTTGCGTGTTGGAGAGGGAGGAGATAGTGATACAGAAAGAACTCCTGCGTAGTGATGTGCATGCAAATTGAATACCAGCAACAGGACATGCAAATATTCTGATAATAACCACAAATACACACACACACACACTAACCTTGGTAGTCATAGACAGTCAAACTGTGTGCCCATAAACCTACAAGATCAAGAAACCGAAATTTCACATGAGAAAATGCACATAAACCTGTCAATTTATGTTTGGGCTGCAGGTACATTGCGAGAGACAAAAAAGAAAGCTTATTACCTATTTGGTGAGTTCCTTCAAATTGTCAAATATTTTATATTTGGCTACAATAAATAATGTTTAGTGTTGAGAATATCACAGAAACTTCATAACACTAAACATTCTTTTTCACTTTGTGGATGGCTCAAGTCAATAAAACTAACATGTGCATATGATTTATGGAAACCAGGTACTGTAACATATTTTTATAAAATTGTAACTTTTTATGATTTTGTTTACATATACATCAGCAATAGTAGCAGATCACAATCAAAAAACCGTTTATAGTAATTAAGTAAACTACAAACCTCTTCAATGTCAACCATTCAGATCTTAATATGCTACACACCAGCCAAATGTACATAATAAATATCCAATCATGACCACCTATAAAATTGTTGTTTGCAGGATGGTGTGATGACAAGAGAGCACCTACCGTGCTAAGTTGGGAACCAAACAAATTTTGAAAGCATATCAAAAGAGATAATATATTAAAATTTTCTAGGATAACACAAAGATTGAACTTAATATAAGGATCCATTTATGTTATTGGTGCCTCGGATCTCGTTAATGTTAATTTGTTTTGTCTTTATTTAACCGGTCTATCTGGAATTATGACTCCCAAAATAACATGTACCTCTATGAAGCTTATGTTTGTAAAAAGCAGTAACAAAATCTGCTACCATGGATTACCACAATTGCTAAGAAGTAACTGACTACACAAGCAGTTTCTAACTTTCCATCCCTAAACATATCTTTAGTGCTTCATCATTCCCTGTGTGGGACGGCCAAGGTAAGACAGAGTTGAGGAGCGTTTTCAACTACCATTTATGTTCCTTAAAAACCAAAAGTCATATCTATTAAGATTTAAGAACATACATACAACTTTTTTTCTTTAGCCTTTTCTGTAGCTGATAAGTTTTACTTTTAATGTCAAGCATAACTGCATGGGATTCAAATGTAAATTGTGGTTTTTTACAAATTTATGGGAAAACATATCTCTATTTATATTACTTTGGTATAAAGTCTTAACACATTACGTACGTGCCAATGAAGCACATTCCAGCAATTGCCTATCCATGTATGTGCAAGAAAAGGGCGGATAATCTTTAATCAAAGGTGCCAAACTTCAAAATTTTCTCTTGACAAGGAGTTAGAATTCATATCATTTAGAGGCTATCATATTTGACATCTTAAGGTTAAACCATGTCTCTTTTCTCAAAATGGCAGGGGTATGATTTTTAAGTGGACCCAATAACCATGAGACTTGATTAAGGAGCTGGCCTGTTCCTCAGTTCTTTCAATTATTTTGGTTTTGTCGTGAATTTGAAAACCTGAAAACAATTATGGAGTACTTATAGCCCATCATATAAGGCACATTCCAAAGCTACATGCTAATATTTCTATATAAGGTACATCCGAAATCAAACATTTTTACCTGTTACAACTTACAGAACGAATGTAGCCCTTAGTCAGGTGGTATTTCTCATGCAGAAATCCAAATCCTAAAAGATTTCATTCTTTTACCCCAATCCCAAAGCAATATAACACAAACACTTGTCATCTTCAATAAAAGGCAGCTTGTGTTTAGGTGATTTACACATTGAAGGTTCAAGCAATAAAGACTTCTTTAATTTTTACATTTTGACCTAAACACTCATTTATTTGAAAACCCATTAATCATACAAGATCACATTTTGTCTGTGCTTAATAATAATGCACAGATAAATCTAACTTCGTAAAACATAACTATGTAGATGTATAATCAGATAGTGAAATTGATGAATTAACTAGCCATGCTGACTCTAGTCTATAATCTTCTCATTCCAGTATGGAGATATCATTTGATTTAATATTTCAATCCTATTATTTTTTCATGGATAAAGGATATGGGCATTTTGTAAATCTACATCGGATTTGCTAGTTTAATGTCGTAGTCAATCTTTCATAAAAGTTTACAATCCACATCAACGTTAAAGTAGAAGTAACTTGCTTGATCGATAGAGTCAAACGTGAGCTCGTTGGGGAAAAAGAAAGGAATACCTAATACAGCACTAATCTAACACTTGTTCTAAGTCGTTTTGCTCATTCTGTCCCACCCCTACCCCCACCTCCAGAAAAGAACTGAACAAGGACAATTTGACTTGAAGTAGAGAGATTTATATGATCTAGACTGCAACTCGCAATCAAAATTTAGGAATTCAAAAATCCCCTATAATACGAAGATCATAGATGGCTGAATGTTTATGATCAAACATACACATAAACCTAATCATAAAAAACACTATTATGACATATGTGCGTAATCGATCAGTAAGAATTCCACACACTAACTAACCGTGAGTAATACTGGTGTTGGAACCGGATTTGCAATAACCGCAAGAGCTTCTCCGGCGACCGACATCATCGACTACGCTTTCGGCTCCACCATTATTAATGCTATTGCTACTACTAGCTTCGCTCTTGATCTTCTTCTTATCCGCCATATGTAGTCGATCTTTCATTCAATTCTTCATTTCATTGGATGATATTAGGTCGGAAATCGTCAGAGTATTACAGCTCATCACACAAGAAACTTCGATCGGAGAAGGAAATCGCCGATGGGACGAAATAGGTCACCCCACCATAGCACGCAATCCCCACCCCTTCTTAATCTATTCATATGAACCGGAGTATTGTTTATTTACTTTTTGAAAATTACCTATTAAAATACTCAAAATAAAATAAAACAATAGAATAAATTTTAGTGTTTGGAATAATTAAATTTTTAAATAAATTTTTTAAAATAAATAAATTCTTACATATTTTAAAATTTGTTAAATAATTTTTTGTACTTTTTAAAACTTATTAAAAATATTCTTATGA